GGAGACGTCAGAATTTTATGAAATTTGGAATAAATGTTATAATTGGCTAGAACAGAGAAAGAAAAAGATATAATTATTGATGTATATAAAATGTAAATAAGATGTAAAGAACATTTAAAATGTAAAGCACTGTTCTGTTAGAAGAAAAGATTTATGTTTATGTAGTTTTGGTGTATGGTGTATGGTGAAAAATAAAATTTATTAAAAAAAAAAAAAAAGAAATAGACTAATGTAAAGCTATAATTTGGATAAAACTGAAAACTATGGAAATAGTTAAGATTTTCCCTTTAAAAGAATATTGATGAAATTATAAGAAAACAATCTTGGAAAATAAACAGCTACTGACATCTAATGGTGGAACAGATTATAGAACTATAGCTACCCTGCCTCAGAAATTGGCAAGACACCCAGAAACAGAGAACAATTTATCCCTTTGATCCTCAGTAACTCTTAGCTAAACAGAGAACAGCTGGGAATAGAGGAAAGAAAACACACTGGACTATCTACTGCAGAATGAGAAATACAATTGTTATGAAAACTGCTGACTTCTTGGATTATAAACACTTACTGAGCTGTAATATTTAAGTTTAAGAATCGTCTGCAGAGAAAGAAAAACTTTGACTTTTTGGCTATTCTTCTAGGGGGGAAATTACTGGATTGTTTTTAAGTGATTGAACATTTTGGACTGTTTATAAAGATAACAAACATTTTGGACTGTTTATAAAGATAACAGATAAATTCCAGTGTTTGGAATTTAAGACTGGTTGGTTTGATGAAAATGGAGGTTGCATATACAACTAAAAGTGGTAAGAAACCACATGCAATATTCTTTTCTAAAATCCCCAGTCTGGAACATTAGAGATCTGCAGGAGTAATACTTCAAGACAAGACAAATATTTTCCAGGAGGAAATGTATGCTATGTTGCAACTAATTCAAACAACAATTGCTTCAAATCATAATGAGATTAAAAATAATTTTCATGATATAAATGAGCACATCCTTGATTTAAGCTCACAATTAAAACATTCTCAGAAAATGGTGACAAAGAATGAACAAATAAATCAAATAATAGAACAAAAACTAGAGGAAAGTGACCCAAAGATAGAGGCTACAAATGAAGAAAATTACAGCTTAACACAGAGAAAGAAAATTCTGCAAGATTTTGCTATAATATTGGGAATGGAAAAGACATTTTATCTTTCAGAACTTCAAAACAAGCCTGAAGATAAAAAAGAAGATTTTATAAAAATGGGCAATAGAGCTGTCAGGAAAATCATCAGAGTTTAGGAGACAAAAAATAAAAAGAGAAATCAAGGGAGAAGAAAAGTAGAAGTTTCTTAACAAATATAAATGGGCAAAACTCCCCCTCAAAAGCACCTTGCTCAATTTGTCTTTCCCATTCTTAACAATACTTATAAAAATACAGGAAGAATCCCATGGTAAGCTAAATACACTGACTTGGAAAGCCGCTAGGCAAAATAAGAAGGCGAGAGCCAGATTCAAAAGAGATCATTTGACCTCCCAGATGGAGTACTATATGACTAAATATTTGTTTGCATATGATTAAAAGAATAGTTAAATTTTGGATATGAATGGGTTCTATAGTAAGAGAGATGTGATTCATAAGTAGTATAGTATTTATGATATGGGAAATGTAAAAACAATGGGATGATTTAAATGAACAAAATGTTTTGGATATTCAAATGTAATCAACTTGGAGAAAATTATAAGTGATAAGAAATGTTCTGAATACTGAAGGGAAACTAAGCTTAAATATGAACAGGCAAGAGCCAGACTCAAGAGAGATGACTTGACATACCAGATGGAATATCATATGACCAAACATTTGTCTAAATATGATTAAAAGAATAGTTAAATTTTGGAAATGAAGGGGTTTTACAGTAAGAGAAATGTGATTTATAAGTAGTAAAGTATTTTTTTTTCAATGATATTGTAAATGTAAAAATACTGGGATGATTTAAATGTATGAAATATTTTGGATATTTAAATGTAATCAATTTTGAGAAAACTATAACTGACAAGAAATGTTTTGAATACTGAGGGGAAACTAAGCTTAAATAAGAGTTCTGAAAACAGGACCTATAGTGATTTACATAAGATGATTTTTTGCAAATGCAACTGTAAAATAAGCTGATTAGAAAATACATTACATACTGATGTTATTGTTAAGTACTAGAAAAATGTTTATATTCAACTTCATATGTATTGATAGTATTAAGAACTATATTTGCTCAATGTTGATAAAAGGAGAATACTATTGGAAGAAGATAAGACCAAGGAAAGATATTTCTAGTTAGTATGTTGATTATGAAAGCATAGAAACTAACTATTATTGACTGTTATGAACCCAGACAACACGTTTTTTTCTAAGCACTAAAGACTCTTATTTTTAAAAAAATCAATAATATATATATATATTGTGTACTTTATGATTCATAGGTGGGACTGATCATGTATTTTGTGCGCACACCATGTGAATGGGGCATGGATGCCATTTCAGCCACTCTGACCTTTCTTTGGGAAGTGGTGGGTTATGTAGAAGGACTGTTCTTCAAGGATCTCAAACAAACTATGAAGAAGGAACAATGTGAGGTGAAGCTTCTGGTTACTGCCTCAATGCCAGGTATGGAAAGCATTATTTTTATTTGCCTGGGGCTTTTGCTGGCATTTGGTCTTTATTTTGTAACTATAATAGTGATATATTTCTGCCCAATCATTTTCTAAATTCATTAACATAGCCTGAGTTAAAGGGGAGAGGGGATGTAAATCTTAGGTTCAGTATATATATTTCTGCCTGTCATTGACATTCCCATATGAAAAGGAAAGTCTGAAAGAGATTTTTAAATGTGAATAAAATCTTTGTTTAAATAAGGATCTTGTTTTATTTTTGGCTTTTTGCCTTTACATCAGCAGGGTAAACTCTTAGATATAGCTTAAACTACCTTTAGGAAATCTACCCTAGTAACTAAAATATTCATGAAATATTTGGTGATAAAATGATGGTCAACTTCTTTGGCTGTCTCCAACTCTTTCTCCAATTCTATTGGGCAAATGAACTGTATCAGCTGTAATATACTGTGGTCTGTGCTTATATAAGGAATTGACATTATAGTTCACCATCCTGCGTGATAGTCTTTTAGCCTTAATGAGACACCAATAGTTTAGGACAGGGCTTTTCAACCAGTGGTACGGGTACCACCTGTGGTACATTGGCACCTGGCAGGTGGTACGCGACCATCCTAGAAAAGTGGTAGCAGGGGAGGGGAATGAGCTGAACCGGTGGCAGCACCGCACAAGCCTGAGCGAGAGAC